ATAGTATGCGTCAACCCATTTTTACGCATTTTCATTCATTTTCACACCCCAGCGTCCGTTATACTTTACATCTCATTGCCGATCGTTACGTTTGGCCCAATATGAACAATATGATCGCATTTTAAATTGCGCCCATAACTGCAAGGCCATAATATAAGCAAACTGTATTAGCAGTATACCTGTTCGCTTCGCTATTTTACAGGAGAAGAAGAAAACATTTGGATTATCTATAAGTGTAAGCTTTCTCAAAGGGATACACAAGAAGAAGAAGTTCAGCAAAAAGGCAGCTGATCGATCATCCGTCGGCTAGCATCTGAACAAAATTTGTAACTTCCTTGTATTTCTGGTGAACATTATCTGTAGAACATACAAAACGCTCAATGTTTGAACATTGTATTAGTATAGCCCGAAAATGTTATTTTGCTTTATGTCCGTTGGCGCAGAACAAAATTTGTTTCATAACTCATTAGTTACAGAAATGCTTTTACCTTCTCATTTTCAATGTTCCTCTAGTTATTAACGGTTAAAATCAGTTTTTTAATATTTTCAGTTGCTTCTAAATTCAAGTTGTAAACACGAGANTCCCTATTAGTCTGGGTGATGATCTGTATATTTATTCTTGACTATTTTTTCGCATATTTAGTTCAAACCATTTACGACAGATGGTTACAAAATTTATCAAAAACAATGTGCCGTTTCATAAAAAGCCCACAACTTAGTAAATAATAATATTAATTAATAACTATTATTGATTTAGGGTTTGAACATTTTTTTCACTAATTTGTTTTCCATCAAAAGGGATATTCCAAATAGAGAAAACAGTTGAGTTTACCATTATCACCCCGATACACAAATTTTCGAAGGCAATTTAAGAATAAAGCAAAGACAGCTAAAGTAAACTTAAACCGATGCAACTTTCATGTGGGATAAACAAACTGCATAAGGGACAGGTAATTGTGAAGACCTGTTTCTTTCCAGTTTGACCTCTTACTTTGCACAGGTACCAAATGCTACCGCAAAGTGTTATCTAACCAAGATATGTTTTTAAATCAAAAATAGAAAACTATTGTTTTCGTTTACATTCATTAAGCTTTATTGCCATTCTAAAACAAAAAACTGAAGCAAATGTTTAAAAAGACTCAATTTTAGATCGAAGTATTTATCGTTAAAGACGTTCGAGAAGAAACTCATCCCACCATTAACGTATTTTATGCCTCGACTGCGTGTCCATTACTTGGTCTTTAGTCTTGAGGGCAGAAGGTATGGTACCCATGTAATCCTTGTCAAAACTGAGTCAAAGATCACATCACATCTGGCCAACCTTCCATAGTCCCCTGAGATGGTCACCCAGACATTGTTCAAAAGGCCCGTAAGTTAGCTTCTCTACTTCAATTGCTGGAAGGGAATTCCAGAGTTGGAAGACAAACAAAAGACTAACCGATTGGATTTTACGCAACGTGAGAGAGTGCCCCAGCGTGCGTTCCTCTGTCCGTAGTAGGGAATACTGTTGCAACTTTGAGTTCATATCATTCTTCACTATCTTCTTCAAACAGATCAAATCTTTTTTAATTCATCGATATGAAAATGTGAATAGAATTTTGATTTAGTTGACTGAATAAGAGTTAGCTTCGATAATGAACCACCCCAAACAAAAACTGCTTGTCGAACAAATTTGGACACGAAGGTCTCAGCTACAGTTCTATGCCTGGCTTCTCAGACACTTATGAAAACCGCATATATTTGGGATCAGTTTCCGATCTTGGGCATGAACAAAAGGTAAACATACAACTTGCTCGACCTGTGTGGAATATTTGATCAGTAGACAAGATAATCACTAATTTTCATTTGCTACAGTCAACAAAATAAGATTGGATTTATTGTGCCGTTTGGATTGATTATTCAGGAATGACCTTCCTTGAAACTTTACCTTCATGCACATTCCTTAGCTTTCTCAGACGATCATGGTCTCAGAAGCATTAGACTCAAGTTTTACTCTTATTAAAGCTCATCAGTGGTGCATCTCTACTTTTTCTCCCGGGATTTCAACTCCGGACCTATTACATGGAAAGTGTATGTTACCACTGTGCCAACCAAGGTTGAAGCCTATTACAATTCATGTTTACTTAAGCGCCTTCTTCAGAGATAGTCATTCAGTTTATTTTGGCTAGACAGCAAAAAAGGAGGCATATTTGACTATCTGTTACCTCCAGTCAAAAGCCTCTCATCAAATCAGGTCTTTCGTATAGATTTGCGGCTAACTGGCCACAAATCCACAACTCCGGATTAATGATTTCCATTTAACCTGCAGTTACTTGCAAGCATTGATGTATTAAAACTAATATTTATCACTTAGAACTGGTTATTCATCATTTGGATTCGTCGAAAAGGAAATTAGAAAATCTCGCATGGTTTGTTCGGAATTCAGTCTTCAGTCTTGAAGGCAGAGTTCAGTTCATTTCAGCTTTTACAGGACGGCATGTGGTTCTTGCCAATCAAGTGCCCAGATTCGTGTCTTGCCGGTAAGTTACATTGGCCTCCAACACTTCAATATGCAATTTCTCTAAAAGGGCAGGCTTCAAAAACAGATTCAGTTCAGTTCAGTTCCTGGACGTTGACGGTGGTGTGCCAGTTAGTCCAGTTTCTTGCAGCGGTGGGCTTCGGAGATCTCCGATACTGCGATAGATGGAAGGGGGAGATAACTGTTCTTCAGTGCTGCAATCAAAACCTTCAGTAGAGTTGGGTGTTAACCTCCCACTCTCGCGCCACATTCAATGCACACCTAATGGATCAGGGCAGCGGATTCTGACACCGGCTTCGACCAATTTACAACCCCGGTCTAATAGTTTAGAGATTTCTAATGGCAGAGTTAGTGATCTAATAACAGTGGGCGGGATGCGAATGTGGGACGCAGCAGAGTGAATAAACGATAACAACAATGGATAAGAAGGAAAAGAGGAAAAGAGAATAAGTCGAATGGGTCGGGGAAGAGCAATTTGGGGAGAAGGTGGGAACAGAGCTGCCAGACAATCACGTTGCGCAGGCGGTTTATTAGGTGAAAAGATCTTCCCATTCAGAGTCCAAGCGGATCTTGAGGTCCTTTACCGAATTGGAATCGACTACTTCATTGGGTAGTCCGTTCTAGTCATTCACCACCTTTATGACAAACTTTTTCTGCCTTTTTCTGGTGGATACCCTGACCTTAGCTAACTTGAGGTCATTCCCCCTTGGAGTTGGATTCACGCTGCGAGGTAGTAGTGGTCTTGTCTTATTATCCAACGTCGTCGAAACCTTTTAAAAGTTGAAACGCCTCAATCAGGTATCCCTTCTTCGCCTCTCCAGAGGGAAGACCTCAAGACTACCAATCACTACCACAGCGATAGCTCCGTAAAATTCCATTCCTTGTAAAAAAATATATTAAGTTATTTACTTGAACCTAAATTCATGCTCAGTTGATACATCAATATTATTCCACGTTATTCGTACAAATCCCGTACGGGATATGTAATATACATAAAGGCGGCTAGCCTCCGGGTTAACCGAAATTGCAAATCTCACTAGAACGTTATTGCAGTTATTCTTCAGTAGCACAATTGCGTTTGACGGTAATACCGAATGTGACTATTATCTCTGAATTATCTTGACTTACAACCACATATTTGAAATTTCAAAATTCATTTTGACTCACCTTCCTCCAAATCATTGTTCAAAGTGGCATCTAGAAGGACGTATTGGTTTTCAAAGATAACGCGCCTATCAGAGTAGCTCTTTTTCTGTTGCTTCTTCTTGTCAAGTGAGCGCATTTTACGATCATATTCCTCCCATTCTCTCAATTGCTGAAGCCGATTCGCACGAGCTGCTTCCAATCGGCGGAGATCTATTTTTCCTTGTGCTATAGCTTGGTTCATTCCAACATTATTAAGTGGGACAGATTTGGGTCTAGCCAGAACGTCAGTCATTTCACGGAACACA